GGTGGCGCGTGACTGTTTGCTTGACACTTTGACTGCGGATCTGTAGGCTGGTCTCACCTTGCCGGCTTGAGGTTCCGATTTGCAAGAAAAGAGTGGGTGTGGCGACGTTAGGAGTTGTCTTGGAGCGTGAGATGCTCTGTCTCCTCCCACTCAAGGAAACTCTGGAGTCTCCCTCTGGAGGCACACCGAAGCTCGTACGGAGGATGGGTGTTCACCGTACTTTTTTTGCGATGTGGGTATCGTATCTTTTGGAGACCGTAAAGAATCGTCTATGGTTTGGTCGAAGGAAAGAAGGGCGGTGCTTCTTCTTTGTTCAAGCAGAGTTGCAACATTGGCGTGAAGGCCTCTGGTTAGAAGAGGTCGTTTCTCCGGTTTTCGGAGGCGAGTCGTGATGGACCTTATGCTTTTTCGTGTGGTCTGCGGGAGAGCACGAAGGACCATTGGTGATCACGGTTAGAGACACAATAAGCATAGTACCGATTATTGTTTATCTGGTAGTTGTGTCTCTTCTTCTGCGTCTCAGGTTCTGGTTTGATCGTTAAAGGAGCCATGACCTCAACCCGCTTTTCCCAGCTATGAAAACCGATGTCTCGATGCCCTCTGATACTTGGAGAGGCTTATTCGCCAGTGTGGCTATGCAGCAAATGGACAAACTAATTTTTTGATTACTAACCCAGTTGCTAAGAGCTCCAATGGATTTCCTCTCTTAATAGTGAGAATAAGTGCCTTTCGGGTGATGAAGCAATAGCTGAACTTAAAGTTTTTTCAATAGCTCCATTCGCTATGTGCTAGTCTTTTAGAATTCTCATTATTGGTACTGCTGGCAAAGACTATGTTTTGTAATATGTTTTTTAGTGGTTTAAGAGACGGTTCATTCCGTGTAGTGGGATGTTCTCGTTTTCGTAGTGATGAAAAATGCAATATTGGATTGATTCGGGTAGCGTAGGATCCTTCTAAGTGTTCCTAGGTGATACTAGATCTCAATATTGTATGTCGGGTAAAAATCTTGTGAAGTTGTAATCTCATTACCATGAATTGGTTAATTCAAAGTTGAAGTTGAGCCAAAAAAAAAAACGAACGAGGCAACACAATATCACTCTGAAGATAAACGAATTAGATATACAGTATACTCAATTCGATGTAAATGGCATGAAGTCATGAAGGTTATCGAAATAGGTACAATTTGCAGGAGAGGAGACTACCACTTACTCGTTCATCTATTCCAAGATAAACTTAGTGACTTCACAACTGAGAAAATGATTTTTATATATATATATATATATATATATATATATATATATATATTGATAGATATCTTGCTTTGTTGATTCTTTGATCATACTTACATATCATTCCTTCGCCAACGAAGCTCGAACAAGATCACAAGATGTTTGCAGTTTGTATAGTCATCAATAAAACATATTGTTTGACTGATTATATACACATCATCCAGGTTACAGACTAAATGAGTTCTCAATGCTCATGCTATGGTAGACTTGTACGACTGCCTCCCCTTTCGAAGTTTTTTTTGGTGTAAACCCCTTTCGAAGTTTTCTTGAAGTAAAAACTGAGCATAGCGGTGAAGAAAAGCAAATCTTTCTTTTGTGCATTAAACGACTTTCAAGAGTCTGACAATCTAAAATTACGTAAAAAGCTGTAGTGAAAGTGAATATAATCTAGTCTCAGGTTGTTACCTCATTTTTGAGAAAACCAAAATGAATGTAGGCACCATTTTCTTCATGAAATCAAATTCTTCTAATTGAGCCTCAAAAGGAAAACCCAAATATTTTGGCCCAAAAATGCAAGACCAAACAATTGAGGCCTATAGAGAAGGTCCAGCCAAACTCTTTTTTTTTTTATCGCCAATGGTTGAAAGAGTTCAAGAAATCCATGTACAGTACAATTGAGTCAGCTCTTATCTAAATCATCAACTGGGACCTTGAAATCCATAACGCATCTACGTATTCATTACTAGTACAATAAAAAACTAATATTTAGGTTATCATTATACAATAAGATAACATCGTCTCTCCCAACGGCATTTTATTAATTTAATCACATGTTAAAACCTCGGGATGATAAGCAAACCTACTAAAAGCTTCAGCTGATCACAAAGATCCGACCCGACCGGAACACTCAAGACATGGAATAAAAAGAAAAGGTGAATGAAGAAATCAGCAAGTAATCAAGGAATCACACGGCTAAACTTTCTACATTCCGTAACAGTTCTCTGTTCTTGTCCCTGACAGAAGAAAACCGTCGCCGGACACCACGAGAAACAGTTTCCGGCGAGCTGCACGTTCGCTGAACCAGGCTTCAGCGCCATCAAAGGACTCGGTACGACTCCAAATAAAAAATTCCCACCTAGCAATAGCCTCTGAAAGGCGGCGAAATTCGATCCTGGCGACACGGTTTTCCAGACGTACTGTGTCGGAATCATACCGGAGAAGCTGTTGTTCTCTAACGACAAAGCTGATAGCTTCGGTAAGAGACCCATGAACAGAGGTAACGACCCTCGGATCTGGTTGTTGCTGAGGTCCACTGATATTAGCTCGCTGGGGAGACCCGAAGGTGAGTAGTAAGGCGAGTCTAAAGACGTGAAGCCGTTGAAGGAGAGAGTAAGCTGTTGCAGAGTTTGATGAGTGAAGATGAACGATGGAACAGAGCCACTGAGTTCGTTGTGGCTAAGATCAACGACTTCAAGAGAAGTTAAGTTGCTGAAGCTCTCTGGGATGGTTCCTTCCATGAGGTTGTTCCTCATTGAGATTTGAACTAGTGAACCGGGTAACAATGCCGGGACCCGACCCGAGATCTGGTTATCGCTCGCGTCAAGGTAATTCAAGTTCTTGAGCGAGGTAAGATCGGGAAACCCGCCGGAGATGTTGTTGAGCTGGATTTCTAGCCGTTTGAGGCTGGAAAGATTGTTGAAACTCGCCGGAACTGAGCCGGAGAGGCGGTTGTTGTCGAGGAGGAGCTCCTCGAGAGCTGACATGGAGCCGAGAGAAGCGGGTATGGAGCCTGAGAAGGAGTTTTCGGAGAGGTATAGGCTGGTGAGGCGAGTGAGGTTGGAGAGGGAGTGCGGAAGAGGACCGGAGAAGTAGTTGCCGGAGAGATCGAGGGACTGGAGATAAGGGAAGTTGAAGGAGACGGAGGAGAGTGAGCCGGAGTATCCGGCGTGGTCGAGGCTGAGGTCTGTGACCCGACCCGATCCGGAAACGACAGTGTCGCAGCGGAAACCGCAAGTGAATGTCTCGCCGGACAGACCGTCGCAGGGATCGACGGAGAAGTCCCAGGAGCTGAGGCAAGAGCCAGGGGTTATGGATTTAGCGTCCACCGAGTTCTTAAACTCTTTAAGAGCTGCCACGTCAGCCCAGAAAGTCTTGGACTCTACTGAAGACAAAGTGAGCAAAATAAGAAGAAGAAGAGACAGAAGAGAAGTCATGTTTTGGCTGCTTCTGAGACGGACTGAAGAAGAAGAAGTGAAAAAGAACCGTTGGATGAGAGGAGCAAGGTGTGTGATAGATCTAGTGAGCGTTGTTGTTCTGACACTTGAAAGACGCAAGAATTTATATAGTTATATAGATATTTAATATATGGTACATGAAACGCAATCATGTGTGTGATGGTCCATCCGACATATGCGTGAAGACAAGTACTGTACAGTGAGGTATGGTTGGCCCTATCAACATCCAAGAGGATTTAGATTCTTCTCTTGATTCAGAAAAAACAGCTGTTGAAATCATATCAGTACTAGACATTAACAAACTCGGTGAAGAATTTTTTTTTCTTCTTTTACTTGTTCGAGACATTTGAGCATATATTATTTATCAATATCTAATATCAAAGTATTGGTTGTTGAAGAAAGACATTTTAAAGAATGCTTATTTAAGAAGTAATCAGAGCCTTACAGGGAATCAAGCTGGTGGAATAATATGCAGCTGTTGCAAGCAAAGGCTCCAAATCATTGCTCGTAACTAACTTATAAGTCGAGGGATGAAGACGAAAATTTTCAAATATGATTGAAGGGGGTCCTCACTAATTTGAGTTAGGTGTAAACTCCAAAACCTTAGCCAGGACCCAGGAGGGAAGTTTAAATCATGCTGATGAGTGGGTGGCTAAAACTATCCAGAGAGAAGTAAAGCAAAAAGGTACTAACAGTAATCTATTTGCACCATTTGAATTTAGTGTCGTCCTCATTGTTTCTCCGTGTGTTGTTCTTCAAGAATTGTCTCACCTTCTGTGTTAGTCTTGAACACAAAGACTTTTCCTCTAATCAGCACAGCTTAAGACTTAAAAGAGTTTTAGTTGATAGAAAGATGCATCGACGTGGATAAACAAAGCAGAATCAAGTGCTTACATCGACTGAACTACATGATGTGGATTCTCACATGGACTATTCGCTTCGTCTGTTTGAGTGTAAATGTAATGCATCAGTTCATGAATAGATACCCAAGATAGACAACACATCAGTTCATGAATTAACCATGTCATATTATTTGCATTTGTCACCACTATGAGATAAGTACTTAAAAAGAATGGAATGGGGAAACTGTGTGATGAGACACAAAGCTGATGGAAACTTTATATAGAGTTATGCAAAGTTGTGACGATTTAGAGTATTACACTTAGCACTACTACTACCATCAACAGCAACTCATTCTAACTGCCGCAAGAAGATCATAATTCTCAGTAGCAATCTCAGGCTAAAACTCAGTAGAACAACTCAATCTGCATCCGCAGATGCCAAGAAGAAGATCAAAAATAACAGCTGCAAAGGGAAGGAAGATATCATGGACAGAGGCTCTTTGTGGGATTTAAGGGGAAGTGGTATTCAATATGGGTGTTCAACATGCTGTTCTCGTAAATGCCTCAAAAGAAAAAAGAGTAAACATCTACACTATTAGAAACTGAAAATCAATTTAGAGGAAACAAAAGAGAATCTCAAACAACTTAATAGATGAGATATAAATAACAATATTTCGAGTTAGTTTTTGGCAAGTTCAGAGAGTGACAGAAACAGAATGCAAAACCTTCTTGTGGTGTTGATAAGGTTCAATGGCAGGCATGAAAATATTAGACCGCTCAATGTTGCCCCAAATCTCGCCTCCTTGGCGTCTTTCCAATGAAATCTCCGCCAACCAAATATGAAGATATTCCGACTCGGAGGTGTCCCAGAAAAGCACAATCTTCCCACCGGAGCTGCACATTCTGGCGCCTGGACGTAAACGTTCGAACCTGCACATTTTCAAATATTTGTGAATCTTTAACCGGGGTAGACCATCCATGATCCTCTTATTTTCCCACCGATCAATAATATGATCACCATAAAGGACAAGTCTGGAACGAAAGAGAACCTGGTATATATTAGTTAGTGTTTGGTTGGAATAGGCAGTATACCGAATGGGTTTGATTAATCAGTAGTTATGGGTTAAACTCCACCAATGAACATATGCAACTATTCATGGAAAGTATGTGATTCTTCATTGAACATATGTGTCTCTTCTGATTGAACATATGTGACTTTTCACAATGTATCCCTCGATTATCTATAAATAGAATGCATTGTAGAGAGAGACAATCAATCTAAGCAATAAGATAATAATTCTAGAGAAAGATTAAAATGTTTTAGAGAGAGAAAGCTTCAAGGAATCAACTAAAAGAGCATTTGAACGGTTACAAGTGTTTGATTTCCATTTGTGATTTCATCCCCGACTCTTGCCCGATTGAATCAAGTAGTGTTCATCACTAAACCAGGCTAATGTTTTCGGTTTAACACACTTCCGCATTAGAAATTCTAACATTGGTATCAGAGCATTCTGGCATATTTACATTCTTAATAATCTTGAATGATAAGTAATATGGGTTACAAGAATTTTTTCATGATGAATTGAGAAAAATGGTTAATGGTTAAAAAAATTAAAACAAAATGGTGAATCCATGAACACATGATAAAATCGACTGAAACTTTACATATTGCCGTGAATGTTTCTGAAAATTATTGCATTAAGAACCAAAATATATTGCATGAATTAAGAGAAATAGTTAGTAAATCGGAAATACTGTTTCGCTTATATCTCTCTGATTATACCTCTGAATCGCACGACTTTTAATTCCGTGCGAAGATCTTGAAATTATCTTTCTATTGATATACTATACGTAAAATATGATCATGTATTCTGAGAGATATACGGGTCCTAAGTTTCGGCCGAGTTGCAGAAAAACAAAAAGATATGAAGAAGATGAACAGTAACGTGACACATGTCGCATTCGGATTTGTCTGAATATTGTATTTTTGTTTTGGCAATATCTTTCTAGTTTTAGATCAGAATTACGTATATTTTATGTCCATACTTAGCTGTTGAAATTATCTTTCGTTTGATATATTTTACGCATAATTTGAACACGTATACAAAGAGATATTAATTTAATATGTTATGCTTATATAATAAGTTATATATGCCTGAAATTAAGAATTAAACAAATTAGATTCGTTTTTTTTGTTAAATTTATGAAAAATATGGAATTATTATTTTTAATGTAATATGAGAAATTAAATTAATTAAGTATTAATTTAATTTAAGTGATTTTTGTTGGAAAAAAAACATGTTTCATTTGTTAATTCATGTTAGTTTAATACATGGATCTAGTGGGAGATCTATTGTGTTTAGTATTTAATATAGTAGGAGTTCTATAATGTTTAGAACTTAGTATTTTGCATGGAATAAGTTAATTTATAGTAATATCTAACTATATTAAAAGGGCGATATCAAGCCCTGTGAGCTATGCCACGTAGGCGAAAATAATCAACCAATAGAAAGTTAGTTTTAATTCGGATCCGTTTGATTTGTTTAACGAGATGAGTCCTTCTCCTCTCTCCTTTTGCGTTCTTCTTCGTCGTTTTGTATCCTCAACCTACCGTCATCTGTTATATACATGAATAGATTCGATCCTGAATTGCTCTTATTCCTTCTAGGGTTTCGATCTATCTCTCTTTTGGTCGCATCCAGTTATCCGAGAAGGACCTATCAAATCTCCATTGCCGAAATCAGTTATCATGGCTGCCGTGCTCAAACCGCTGATCGTATCCTTTTGATTTCACGTTCCTTGATCTATTTTTGTTTTCATTGGATCTCACTCTCTCAGTGTTCTGATTCGATTTTCGTCAGTTGTTTTTTTCAGATTTATATGATATTACGTAGATTTAGGGTTAGTGTTTCTTTGAGTAATTGATGAAAATCTATTTGAAAGTCAACGAATGATGGATTTTTTACGCACTACAGAGAATCTCCTGCCTCTGTCTTGCAGAACCTGTAAAAAGAGTTAGTCGGCTAATGAGACGCATCTTGATTTAGGTGTGGCCAGTGGAATTAAGCATTACACTCAACCGCTGCCTCTTTCAATCAAGTTGTTCAGGTAGATGATGATGATTATGATTTTGGACTCTACTTTATCTTCTCACTAACCGAAACTATTTGGCCTTTTTTTTTATAGAAATCCATTAGTCTCAGTCCTTTACGAGAGAGGTTGGCGTCAGAATTTCTGTGGGGTGGTTTCCCAGGACCAGAGAAAGAGGTCAACCACGGTTCTTTATGTTATTCATCTAGCCAGATGCATTAGTAACATTGTGTTATATTTGTATTCAACAGTTTGAAATGGCAAAGGAATACTTGAATAATGAATGTTTTGGGAGCTTTGATTCTTTTGGTGAGAGTGGGTTTTGGGCAAGTTGTGATATCACTATGAGCTGTTCAAAAGTAAACATGCAGGTTCACATGTAAATCAAACTTCTGGTTGATTTTCAGTTTTCAATTACTTAACTTCTTATGCTCTGTTTTGTTTTGGGTTATAATGTCTTATGTGGCAGAGTCAATAAAGAACATTATGGAGAAAACAAGGCAAGATTTATTCCCTGAGGCAACAACACTTTTCCCGGCTGATGAAAGAGCTCCACGGGACTGATCTGTGGAATCTGCGGCGAACTTATTCCCTAGGATCAGTGAGATAAAAACCACTCATCTTATTAAACCATTTTGGTTAACTGACATATGATGTGTGTTGTTGATGTGACTTGCAGGTGCATAAATATGTTGAAGCTGCACAGTTTTGTGTCTGGGACACTTTCTACTCTCGATGAGGTTAACGCTACGCTTTCACCGCTTAGTGGCCCTTCTTTAGAGACACTGAAAGTCAATATTATGAGGCAATGTAGACTCTCTTGATCTATGTTTTTATCTGCTAAAAAGGGCGACTATGATCATACATAAAGATCTCTGTGAAATAGTAACCTTTGATGCATTTTAAATTGCAGTGCCTCAGGTAATCTTCCAAGCTATTTCTTTTAAGAGAATTTATGGAGTTCTTATGCCAAAACTGACTGATACACGCACATGTTGAGTTAAATGAGTTCGGTGAAGCTCAATGTTAGCTGCAACTGTTGATTGGGACAAGGCATTCTATTCGATGCTGAAATATTGTATTAGAGCACTTCAGGATATTATATGCTTCAGTTTAACGTAGACGAACTCAAGTCACTTCTCTCTTTATCCTTTTTCTGTAAAAACTGATTTGAGTTATTGAATGGTATTTATAGTAACGAACATTGTCGTGTCAGGTTTGTTATGTTGTCGTGAGGTTATGAAGTGAATCTCTAGGAGTATCTGTTCTGAGGAGGAATCAGTCATGTAGCTTATAACACTGCTGTAGAGAAGGTTTTGGAGATGATCAAGCATAAGAGTTCATCCCTTAGAAAGGTAGTTTAGTGACCATGGCTGTATCTGTTTTTTACAAAATTATGGTTCTCATTTAATTATTGTTTTCTGTTTAAAAAATCAGGTCATTCTTGCTCGTAACAGCAGAGTTATAACATATACCATCATTGATCCCATTGCTTGGCTTGCACAGTTACAGGTATGCTCTAGATATCTATATAGTAATCGTAGAACTATAAACGCAATGTTATGACTTAAATCTCACTCTAATAATTATTGGTGGTGCAGGACAAAGGGCATGTCGCGTATCAGTTTTGTCTTCAACCACCAGGAGCACCAGCTTTTATCTAAAACACAGGACGAAGGGCATGCGCGTATCAGTTTTGTCTTCAACCACCAGGAGCACCAGCTTTTATCTAAAACACATTATGGTACAAGTAGTTTGTTGATACATTTTATATTGATTTCAGTAGTTAATATGTTAGGCCGAAAAGCCTGACATTAACATATCCGTGTGACATGCATCTTTGTGAAACAGCCTGAGAGACTTTTCCAAAGAAATTAGTTAGGTGTCTACAGTGAAGCTGTGGCTATAACCAGGCCTCTGTCAAAAGTTTTCACGAACCAGAGAAACCTCCATTATAGAGCCGACAAAGATTCTCAGAGATTTGATAATTTTTTTTCCTCTGTCTAAATCACAATATGGCCTACAATGGTGTATGGAAGAAATATTTAATTTCAGCGGAATATGAGACAAGTTGTTTACAAAACATAACAAGATTATTTACTATTTATATCCTAGAGTATATTCAGAAATAAATACATAACTTAATAACTTCTATAACAGACATCTGAGATCAACCTAATACAGTATGTTGAAGTTTAGAGGATATAAATTACAAAAAGTTTAGATGATATAGTAACTAATATGGACATAGTAAATATGTGATTTTGACTTAAAAGTAATGTCAAACAAAAATTATAAAACTACTTATACTAATTAATATATTATGAAAAACATAATTATTTAAATGTATAGGGTGAATATGAAAAAAGTTTTGAATCCAAAATAAACCAGAAACAAAATATCAAAATTATAATAGACTATCTATAACAAAAGATATATGTATATAAAATTACATCAGTTAATTTATCTTTAAACAATTCATTTTTATATGCATAGTGGCTGTTTCATTAAAAGCTAAAGAATCACAAATCGAATAATTAGTGAGTATATATATGACTAGAAGAAAAATAAAAACCAAATAAATTTGAAAAAACTTAAAAAAACAAATAAAATTCACACATCAGTTCAACACATAGTTGAGTCCTATGTTTTAACAAATTTTGTGAGGTTTAAATAAGGATTTTTAAGAAAACTCAAACTAGATTATATGAGTCATCAGATTTAACGGTATGATCCAAAAAACATTGGTTCCATGATATGTTTATAAAGAAATATTTTTTTTACCATTTTTATTAATATTAAAATTGTTTCAAGATTGTATAAACATTTTTTTCCAACTTCAGCTGATTTTTTTTGTTTATCAAATTTTCTTTCCAATTTAAAATTTCTT